TTTTGTTTTTTTGCAGAACCAGGGATTGAACTCAGGCCCTTGCCCTTGCCAGGGAAGAACTTATTCCACTGAGCCATCTCCCCGGCCTTATTGCTCATTTTTTAATCACCCTTATACTATCTAAAATAATTTACACACTCAGTGTGTCACCCCTTTTATAATTCCAATGACAATTTTCACACAAATTGAAAATCCTAAAGTTCATAGAGAACCACAGAAGACTCCAAATAGTAAAGGTAATATCAAGTGAAAAGAACAAAACTGGAGGCATCACACTAATTTCAAGACCAACTACAAAGCTATATAAATTGACATAGAATGGTACAGGCATAAAAACAGACATGAAGACTAGGGAACAACACAGAGCCCAGAAATAAATCCATATCTTTATAGTCAAATGAACTTTGACAAAGATGCCAGCAATAAAGATGGGGAAACAATAGTAAATGCAATAAATCTTTAGTAAATGCTATTAGAAAACAGTATCTATATACAGAAGAATGAAATTTGACTGTCATCTTAATTGTTATGCAAAAGTCAAATAAAAATGGATTAAAGGCTTGCAATAAGAATTTTTTTAATGCACACATTTTACCATGAGCTACACACTACCAGCAAGTGTAAGGCTTGTGTGTGGTGGATTGCCAACTGGTTCATCTGAACTGAGCCAGTCTGGTGCTGGATGTGGGAGGTCCACCTGAGGATTGTTGCTGGCAGCATAAGAGGCAGAACTGGAAGATAAGGAATAGGCTATTGGGAGCTGGTAGATGCTATTGAGAGGCTGTTAGGAAAGCTATCTGGAGAAGCTGTTTGAGAGCTCTTGGGAAGCTATTAGGGAGCTGCTGGTTCTCTTGGACTATTCTGCTAGAGGACCTTGTCATGCTGGCTTTCCTAGTGAACTTAGCTGTTCTTATCAAAGGAGGAGCTTGTGACTTCATTGTCCCTGAGAATGGCTATGGTTCACTTTTGGGGAGCTCTTATTCTTACCTTGAGCATTACTTCCTGGCTCCAGAGGGAAAAATGGTACTCTGCTCAGTCTCCTAGAGGAGCTCATTGGGTTGGCTTTCCTAATAGGATCTTGGCTGTTCTCAACCTTGGAGGAGCTTGAGACCTCATTGTGTCTGAGGATGACTGTGGTACTTTTGTGGGGAGCTCTGGTTCTTACCTTGAGCATTGCTAGCTCAAGGTTCAGATCCCTCATCGTGTTAGCATAGATTCTTCATCCTGCTGGCACAGACTTTCAGGTTTCCACCACTGATCTCTGGACATTCCTAGTGCAGAGCTGTAAATCAGGGGCCTGCTTGAGACATTGTCGCGGGCTCTCAGTCGCCAGCTGGACTTGTGGGAGGCATTGTTATGGGCTCTATGTATTCATCTGGACTCGTGTAGGACATTATGGAATTCAGGCCCACAGCTGGAGTCTTGGGTCTTTAATGTGTGGACAGATTTTGTGCACTTTTGGTATATGATTCTTTGGGTGATTTATTATAAAATACTCTGATAAAATGTGTCCTATATTTTGTTGTTGCCCTTGTAAGGCCCAAACTATGACACATTGAAACTCTTAAAAGAAAAAAAATATATTAAAGAAGTGTTTTGACATGGTCTGAGCCACTTTTGGACATGTTTCCTAAAGCACAGTGAACAAAAAAAGTAAATAATTGGGATTGCATTGAATTAAAAAGCCTCTGCACAGTAAAGTCAACAATCAGCCATGAAGAGAGAACTTAACAAATGAGAGAAGATATTTGTGAACCATCCAATAAGAGGTTAATATCCAAAATGTGTTAGGGACTCAGTAGGGTGTAACAGTGTATACCTAAATCACAGCTGCTTGAGAGTCTGGGCCAAGAAGATCTAAAGTTCTAGACTAGTCTCCGCAATGTAGCAAAGCTCCATCTCAAAAGGAAAAGAAAATGTACAAGGCATGATGCCACATATCTATAATCCCAGCACTCTTAAGAGGTTGAGACAGCAGGATCTAAAGTTTGAGGGCAGCTTTGCCAATTTACCAGGACCCTGTTTCAAAATAAAAAACAAAAATAAGTGGGCTAATGGTAGAATGTTTGCCCTACATGCACAGGGTTCTAGGTTCCATCCCCAAAACCATAAAAAAAAAAAAAAAAAAAAAAAGGTAAAATGGCAAGTGCATGGCTTTTATTTAAGTGTCCCCCAAAGCTTCATGTGGTGATAGGGGGAGCTTTTTAGAGGTGACTGCACCTAGAGTGTGTGACACTGGGATTGATTCTTGGTGCAAGGCCAAAGGCACTAGGATTTAGAGTATGAGTGCTACCTGCTGTAGGGTGGATAGGTTGTTAAGATAAAGGGGACAGAAACAGCTGTGGTTTCCCCTGCTTGCTTTTGCTGTCTCCTGCATGCCATGAACTAATTCTCCTCTGTGATGCCCCTCTGTCAACCCACCCTGCCTATAAGCCAGCTAATTGTGGACTGGAACCTCTACAGACTGTGAGCTAAGTAAGCCTTTCCTCCTTTAACTTTCAGTGTCGAGGATTTGGCTTAGCAAGGAGAAAAGTAAGGCAGCAGAGGCTGTAATTCAGAGTGAATTCCTTAGGTTTAGTCCCCAGTATTGTTTAAAGAAACAAAAATTTTCCGAGCCAGCGAGATAGCTCAGTGGACTAAAGTGCCTGCTTAGGTAGGCAAGCGCAGGGACGGTGGTTTGATCCCCGGCACCACATGCCATGCCTGCCATGCCCCCAGGGTGGGATGTAATCCCAGTGCTGGGGAGGCTGAAAGCAGGAGGATCACCAGGAGTATGAGCTACATAGTAAGACCCTGTAACAACCAAATACGTTTTTAAAAAATGAAAATTTATTAGGAATGCCTTGATAACAAGAATACAAATAAAAACAAGACCAAATAAAAAACCATGAATCCTGTAAGTATCTGTGGCATATGCCTAGGTATTTCCCCAAAGCTTCATATCATGGATGAGGTCTTTTCAGAGGTGGCTGAATCTGGAATGTGTGATGCTGGGATTAAGGGTATGTGGTTACTAAGTCAGCCCACTGATTGTTTTGGCATAGTTCTGAGTTTGAATGCTACCTGCCCTAAGGGTGGGTAGCCTAAATAGAATAGGCACAGAAAGAAGCTGCTATTGTCATTGTTGCTTGCTTGGTGCTTATCGCCTTCTGCCTACCCTGCTTTGCCAATCTTCTCCTTTGGGTGTTGGGTATTTTGTCTCAACAATTAGAAAAGTAAGACAGTATAGTATTCTATTAAATTATCTAGACACAAAATCATCTATCTCCTGGAGGCCACTTGAGCTACCATATTCTATCACATGACCTCACCAGAAACATTTTTAAAATTTGCTTTGTTTTATGGTTGTTGAAATTTACTGTAGGGCCAGCCTGATAGCTCAGTGGACTAAAGCACCTACTTAGGCAGAGTACAGTGGCCAGGGTTCGATCCCCAGTATGCTGTGCCAACCCCTGCTGGGTACACTGAGATGGCGATTGAGACTGGTTATGGTGGTCCGCACCTGTAATCCCAACACTTGGGAGGCTGAAAATAGGAGAATCACTCTGAGTCCAATCTACATAATGAGACCCTGTAGACCCTATAGACCCTGTCCTAAATACAGAAAAGAAAAAACAAATTTACTGCATTTCAATGATGTGAATGGACTTTAGATTTCCCAGGTGAGGCCTGGGAATGTAGCTTAGTCTATTTTGCATGTGGAAGGCCTTAGGTTCAATCCTAGCACTGCAAAAAGAGATTTCTCAGATCATTAGAGAAGGACATTACCAACTGGTTAATTTATGTAGATACTATTATAAAATTATTTTCTCTCTTAATTTAAAGGAGTTGGAGTTATACAAAGAGGAACTTCAAATGAAACCTGCACTCCTGGCTGTTAATAAAATGGATTTGCCAAATGCCCTGGATAAATTTCATGAGCTAATGAGCCAACTGCAGAATCCTAAAGGTAAACACACTCATTTTATTTAATTCCAATTTAATAAGTACTTATTGTGTACAATGAATGTTGAGTATTATAATCAGTGGAAAAGAAAATTCATAGCTTCTATCTTCAAAATGTATCTTCAAAGAAAGAATACACCTGAAACATTGCAGTAACATTTTAACAGTCATTATGCAGCTTTGGAATGTGTGACCCTAAGTTAGAAGAGACCAAAGAAAGATTTATTTCATTTGAGAAAGTTAGGCAATATGAAGAAAACTTAAGACAGGCCCTTTATAATCGCATGGATTTAGATGAAAGGAGAAAAAGCATCTATCTGGAAGTTTTTCACTTTAATTCACATACATCACAAGCTCTAGCAGGTCATTTCGTAAATACAGAGCCAATAATTCTAAAGAGGTATGTTTCTTCAGAACACCAGCTCTAGATCTTTGAAGAATATCAGTCTTCTGAAAAGAACTTGAGCCCTTGGTGTATGTTACATGGAAAAATAGATGATGTTATTCCAAAAGGATTTGTTTGGAATTTTGATATGGGATAACCTTGTAAAGAAATATAAAGGTAATTGCTGCAGTTTTGTATATGAACCTTTATAGGTCACATACATCCTATGTTGAAGATGCTTTAGTGTCAGAGTCCAGTAGATTGAGTACAATGAATGAAGAAAGATACTTTACGTAGTAAATTACTTTACGTAGTAAGTGCGCCTTTTTTTTTTTTTTTTTTTGAGTCAAGGTGCCGCTCCGTAGTTTAGGTTTCAGGCTGGTCTCCAATTCGCAGCAGTTATCCTGAGTGCCTTGATTCAGACGTGCGATAAAGCTGGGCTCCATATTTTTTTAATAATTTTTAATAATATTTTTTAATAATTCTGATTTCTTTTTGTTTCTATGTTTGGAATAAAGCGTAGGGAAGATAGATTACTGTGTATTAGGAATAGCAGACAGCCCCAAAAAGTCTTTTCTCTCCTCTCTAAAATCTTTTTTCAGGCTGGGGCTGTTGCTCAGCAGGACAAGAACCTACGTGGCAAGCGCAAGGTCCTCAGTTCAATTCCCAGTATACTCACAAAACATGTTTTTTCTACATAATTTATATGTTAGGGCTTTCCATAAATTAGTAATTCACTCCAGCAGTATAAATATTCTCTAATAGTATTGAATAGTCTGTATTCCATAATATTACTTGCTTTACAAGTTTATTAGTTCTGTTCTCCAGTTTGTCTTTTGCAGAAAAAAGAATTTTCATGAGTAATACCAGAAGTGAGGGTAACTTAAGAGTATACTATTCTAGACCATCAGAATTCTTGAGTCAGCCTATCTGGTCTTTCTTGGACTTCCAACAGACTCAGCACATTCCTTGGTCCCTTGTCCAATCTCTTTCAGTCTGGACAATTTAGTTCTTGCCATTCATTGTCAGCCTGTCCAGTCAATGTGCTGTCCCCATTCCATGGCCACAGAGGAGTGAAGAAGAAGAAGAAGTAATAGAACATCTGTTTGCCCTTGAGAATGGTAGACTGCAGGTGAAAATCATCTCTACTTGAATTGTTCCCATTCCCCGTTCAGTTTTAGTATGAATCTTGGCATAAGTGAAGATAAGCCTACACTTAGGGCAATGAAAGCCCATGGTGTACAGGCCAACTAGAATGTCCCAAATTACAAATGCTACTATTTCTGCAGATACTTTCTTTCAGAGTAGTTACATTGCCTTGTCTTATTGAGTCCCCCAAAGCAGATTTCACTACTTTTGTAAATATGTATCTTCATGATTCATCTACTTATTCTTAGTTTTATTTAAAATATATTTGTCACCCAGACCTAGCTCAGGCCCAGTGAGTATGTGGAAGAGCTTCCGGCTACCCTGCGCTGGCGAGACCTACTGGTCCCAGCCTAGGTGCAGTGTGGGTGAGACCCTCCTTCACCCTCTTGGGAAGCCCCCATCACTCCGTAGTACCCCTCCACACCCTGTCCACAGAGTAAGAATTTCTGTCGTGTTC